TTCGTAAATCATAAAATATTCGATGTTTAAATTTGTTCATATTATCACATTGGATGAGTCTTTAAACTTTAATGCTAATGTAAGTAATGTGTTTAATATGTATAGTAATGTGCATGTTTAAATATTCGTTTATCAAGCGGTATTATGATTCTTGGCCGTAATTTATCAGTACCATCTCGCTGCTGCTATTTGACCGGTGTGATAATCAGGTGCAACAGATGTTATCCTCTCCAATACATTGGTGATACTTACATATATAATATTCAATAAATCAAGCATGCAGGATCGTGTGACGCAGTTAAGTAATCTGAAGAAGCTTCATTGAACAATAATATATGTTATGAGAGATATATATACCTAAATTTCTGTCGCTCCGTAATTTGATTAGTATTTACAATGCCATTGATAAATATTAACTTGAATGCCATTTTGTTCGTATTGTATTCTCGAAAGAGTATATAATTATTGTATCACACACACATTTAATGCATTAAATTCGGCCACGTACGTTGGAGTAAGATAGATCTTTTTTAAATGAATATTTATTGTATTGCGTATCAGATGCGTTATGATCTTACGAGTGATTTAATTATTTTAAATTTATGCTCTGACGAAATGCTTGTTATTTTATTCGCGCCATATATTATGTTGGCAAATTCTCACATTTTCTGCTTAATTGTAAGATATGCCCTGAGTGCGTCAGAAAAATTCGATAAATATTACGGACATACATCACAGTACGTAGACAAGCGTTTGTTAAGAGATTAGTCATCGTACATATACGTATGTGGTTAAATGATTCGATGAATCACTTCGTTGCGCATTAATCGTGGTCGTGATGTAGTCCGTAGAGTTAATCTCTGCGAAAAAAATCATACAATCATATATATATTTATAAATTTTTATTGAAAATCTTAAAAAAAATTTGTTTTATTGATAGGATCATTTAAACGCATACATTAAATCATAAATTTTAATTTTTAATATTTCGCAAGTAGATCATTCTTAAAAAAATATTGTTTTTAATTAAATGTGATAATGACATAGAAATATGTATTTAACATTTAGAAACTCATGCTTTTTTATTCAATCCGTTGGCCAATCTTTAATTATAACTCTATATCATATTTAAATTTCCGTTGAGCTATCTGAAAAAAATTGCGAGAACGTATTATTTTTATCTCGTATCTATCTATTATATTATTATCTGTATTTGCCGTATAACAATTGGAAACGTGCAATAGAGTCGCACGAGAAGACACGGGCCGTATTGTTTTCCAATTTTCTTTCGTTTGTGGCCGTTCTCAACATTATTTTTAGTGAACTTCCTCTTTTTCCACGCTAAATTCAAGGAACTCGGATGCGCATCGGTCGACAAGATAATTCTTCCTCCCTGGGCACGTAACAATGCCTATCCCTCGTCTTTTCTGAACAAAGAGAGTCAAGAGTGCATGCCTATTATTCGTGTACGGTGCGCCGGAGTATTACGTAATCGTGCGGCGTGGCACAATTACCGGGTCAGACAACGCGGCCGTATATGGGAAACGAAGTCGTGACACAAATCTCGATTGCGTTTCATGTATACGCCGGTTAATTCTCGCGCGTTATACGATTTATACAATTTACTTTCGATAATTATTTCAGATACATGGTCCAAAATACGGCTAATTAATGCCATAAAAAATGTAATTACTAAAAATAGATTTATTTAAAGAGAAAGAATAGTCTTGCAGTTTCATTTAATTTGTAATATGACAAATATTTTTACGCGTAAAAAATAATAAATTAAAAATTATAAATTTTACGTACATACACACAAAAAAAAATATTCTGCCATTTAGCGGTTCCGTGTTGTCAGGATTTTGAGAATGTCAGAGAATTTTCCATTTATATATGACCTCAAGAGGATACTCTACAAAATAAAGAAATTTCGTATAACCCTAAAGTACTGGATTTATAGAATTGCGATCCTCTCAATACTAGAAGAATGTCTTGCATGTAGTGACATGCACGCGTACTACTGTAGCACGTAAATGACAAATCTCTTTTAACAAGTAAGCGTGCCGCTAGTATTTTGTGTATCCTTTTATTTCAAAAGGCTATTCGAGTTATTATAATATTATAGAATTTTCTATAGAGGAATTTATTTTTGATCATAGCTCATATGTCCTCATTTTTATAGATGAATACATGTTATATAATAAATACACGCACCTGATTAATATAAGATTAATGTAAGATTTTTTGCTTAGAGGAAATGCTAAGAGGAATTCCCCGCTTATCGACAGAATATTTTTTTTGGGTGTATATATGCACTTTTAGTACGTAAAGCGTGATAGAATATACATAGAAAGTTGCAACAGGTAACGGGTTAATGTACCGGAATTTTCAATTATCAACACTATGCTAAGCGTTTCCTTAATTGCGTCAGTACCGGCATTTTTAATACGGATCGCAATACGATACTATCGATACGTTCACGCATGTCACTGAAATTGCATTCTCACGCGTGTCATTTACTGCAGGCGTACGTATCGTTATGCGTTCACACACCGATTTCTATCTCGTTAAATAAGCACCGGACAGTTACCTATGCCGTGATTAAATCGGTCGAGTTCCTAACCAGGAGGTTTCTATCGAATTTCACTCGGTTACCGATTGATTAATAATTATCCTTATTTTATGTTAACACGCGTCATATATATATATATATACAGGGTGTTTCCAAATTAAATGGCAAAACTTCGGGAGCGTGTAGAGGAGTAAAAAACTAAGAAAAAAAGTCCTATA